AGCACTAGGGATTCGAACCGCTGAACTGCCAACCTTTCAATCGACAAGCTCAGCGTCTTAGCCACTGAGCCACCGCGTCCCTTTAAGTAGCCTTAGTTAGCCTTAATTCAGCCCAATAGTGGCTCAAGCCAGATGTTTTCCCCTAGTTTTTTTTTTTTACTCATAGGAAACTAACAGTTGTTTCTCCTTATCTTCTCTGTTTCATTTATAGAAAGATGGAGAAGTGGAGAAAAAGAGTAATACGTAGTTTAGAAAAAAAATATCTTTGCAATTCCATTTCAATCTGGTTTTGGGATAGTTTTAACCAATTTTGAGGGTAATTAAGTAAGCAAATGTTTTTTTTCCCATACCAGCTGGAAGGTGTTTGCCAAGTTCATTTGACCTAACTCTAGATCAAGGGTATCAAACTTGCGGCGTCACGTTGCCGTCATGTGACTTCCACGACAGTTTTCCCATTTGTGGAGTTGGGGTGGGCGTGGCCTGTACTTGACGCATTTGGCCCGCAGGCTGCCAGTTTGACACCCCTGCTCTAGATTTATGTTTACTAATTCACAAATTGAAATAGGAAAAAAAGTTTACCTGTGTATATTGCTTCAAAAATACACATTTTATAGATTTTTAAAAATTGCTTTAATGTTCCTAAAGAGGCAATCCCCACCAAACCCTTTGTAGAATGAAGTATACATAGACACACAGACACATGCAGACAAAATAAAAACAAGCAAACAAGAGTTGTTCAAAACACACACACTTATTACAGTGGCCATGTTAAAGAAACTCAATTTTTAAACGATGAATTCTGGCTTGCTCATACAAAATTATATTGACCCCCGGGTTCATGGTTTTGATTGTAATAAAAGTAAGATTAATTTATTTGAACTTTTGAGTGACAATTTGCGTCAGTAAAGAAAAATTATCTTTTCGGCTAGACTTCAAGCTCAATAAGTCTAAAGTTCTTCATAAACAGATAAAATGAAAACATACTGTTATGATTCCAACCTTTTACCTAATTTTCTCCAGTTAAACTGGAGATACTTTGTAAGTTAATGACACTGCAGTTTTATATATTAAATTCAGCATAATTTATTCGTGGGTTAAAATTAAGAATTTCTAACTGTAAATTTTCTGCCAGCTCACTAAAGCATTAAACTAACTAAATTGGACAACAATGGATTAGTTTGTAATGTTGACATTGAATATGTTTGTTTATATGAATTATCCTTGTAGAATCTGTCTAGTCCAACTTTTCTCATTTTGGTGCTGATGCCTTTCATATGTGTTGGATCTCAATAATATGTACTTAACATGACTTTGCTTGATGGGAATTTTAAGATCTGTACTAGTCCCAATATATATGGGAGATATCTTACTGCGAAAAATTGATTTAGGATATCAATAGAGTTCGCTTCCAAATGAAGGCAGATATACGTGTCCCAGGATAATGATGCGAGATAGAATTTGGGTCAAAACTGAGTTCTCTTCCCTCAACATATCATCCATCCATCAACATATTCTTCCCCATAAATCCAGTTATCCAAAAATTCTCTACCTTTAATTTTTTGAACAGTTGTGTTGGCACTAGTTATGTAGCCTCTTTGTTTCAACACTCATTTCAAACACATTAAAGCATTATAGAGCCCTAAAAGATCTACTGTTTTATTGCTTTTAACTGTTTGAAAGAAGATTGTCCCAGGTCTCCATACTTAGTCAACAGTGCTGTTTATCCAGCTTGCCTTCTGTCAACTATCTTTTTCACAAGCAGATAAAAGATCTTGGTCTTTCTTTCTTTCTTTCTTTCTTTCTTTCTTTCTTTCTCTCTCTCTGTCCCTCCCTCCCTCCCTCCCTCCCTTCTTTCTTCTTTCCTCCCTCCCTCCCTCCCTTCCTCCCTCCTTCCTTCCTTCCTGCTGTTTATCCAGCTTGCCTTCTGTCAACTATCTATCTAACTAACTATCTATTTATCTGCTTTTTCACAAGCAGATAAAGGATCTTGGATTTCCTTCCTTCCTTCCTTCCTTCCTTCCTTCCTTCCTTCCTTCCTTCTTTCTTTCTTTCCTTCCTTCCTTCCTTCCTTCCTCCTTTCTTTCTTTCTCTCTTTCTCTCCCTCCTTCCTTCCGTCTCTCTTTCTTTCCTCACTCCTTCCTTCCTTCTCTTCTTCCCTCCCTCCCTCCCCTCCCTCCCTCCCCCTCTCTCTTTCTTTCCTCTTTCCTTCCCTTCCTTCTTTCCCTCCTTCCTCCCTCCCTCCCTCCCTCCCTTCAATACTCTTTGAAACTGAGCTCTCTGCCTCAATTTAAATTCTGCTGACATCTTTTCTGAAGTTCTGTGCCGCAACGTGTGTGGAGATAAAACTCAGGAGCAAAAAACAAACGTTAGTTCAAAAGTAAAAAACAAGCAAAAATCCCCAGGTCTGACTTGACATTCTGTTTTACACTCAGGGATGCCTTACACGTAGGGAAAAAGAGGCATGCAATTATTTCAAAGTGATAATATAAATGCTGTAATATGTTTGTCCTTCTGCTTACTTGTAATATTCTTATACGGCATATTCTTTTCCTGCTTGCTGATAACTGTAAAACAGGAGTGTTTGAGCACCCAGATGAAGAAATTATTGTATATGCAGGAACTTGTGACAAAAAAATAACGATAGAAATTGAAATACACCAAGAAGAGGAACTGGGAATTCTTTCACGTCTATATTTTCACTACAGGGAGTTTTCTCAACTTACAACCATTCATTTAGTGACCATTCAAAGTTACAACGGTGCTGAAAAAAAGTGACTTATGGCTGTTTTTCCACACTTATGACCGTTGCAGCCTCCCCATGGTCACATGATCAAAATTCAGACACTTGGAAACTGGCATGGTATTTGTGACAGTTGCACTGGCCCCAGGCCATGTGATCTCCATTTTGCAACCTCCCCAGTTAAACTTCCAACAAGCAATGGGGAAGCCAGATTCACTTAATGATCAAATAATTCCCTTACCTGCGGTGATTAATTTAACACCTATGGCAAGAAAAGTTGTAAAATGGGACAAAACTCACTTAACAACTTTCTTGCTTACCCACCGAAAGTTTGGACTCAACTGTCATTGTAATCCTCAATTTATGATCACAATTCAACCCAAAATGTATGTCGCTGAGCCAGAGAGTTGTTAAGTGAGTTTTGCCCCATTTTGTGACCTTTCTTTCCACAGTGGTTAAGTGAATCATGGCAGTTGTTACGTTAGTAATATGGTTGTTAAGTGAATCTGGCTTCCCCATTGACTTTGCTAGTCAGAGGGTCACAAAAGGGGATCACATGACCCTGGGACATGACAACAGTCATAAATTACTTGCCAGTTTCCAAGCGTCTGAATTTTGACCATGTGGCAATGGGCATGCTACAATGGTCATAAGTGTGAAAAACGGTCATAAGTCACTTTTTTCAGTGCCTTTGTAACTTCGGAAGGTCACTAAATGAATGGTTGTAAGTCGAGGACTACCTGTATTCATTCCTTTTAATTTCTTTCTTTATTCATGAATGTCAATCAGTGGTGAAATCCCCATTTTTTTTACTACCGGTTCTGTGGGCATGGCTTGGTGGGCGTGGCAGGGGAAGGATACTGCAAAATCTCCATTCCCACCCCACTCCTGAAGGAAGGATATTGCAAAATCCTCATTCCCACCCCACTCCTGGGGGAATGATATTGCAAAATCCCCATTCCCACCCCACTCTGGGGCCAGCCAGAGGTGGTATTTGCCAGTTCTCTGAACGACTCAAAATTTCCGCTACTGGTTTTCCAGAACCTGTCAGAACCTGCTGGATTTCATCCCTGATATCAATGTAATAATCTACCCCTAATTTTTGTTTGGAATGGTCTGATTGATTTTACTGCATTTGACATCTTTGGAAGGAAGGTTAATCTCCCACGCCCTTCCCGCTAGCTTTTGTTTGATAGGAATTTATTCAAGTGTCACAATCCAGAAAATGTTGTGGATTAACCCCTAATCACTTAAAGAACAACTTTATTATGCTGTTTTGACATGTACAAGTGAGTCTTGGCTGGCAGAAGTTACCCTACATCTGTTTCCAATCAACCACCACTACTTCTCTCTTTTCTTCAAGCACTAGTAAGATATGAGTAAAGACCTCCACACAGTTTTTGCTGGCTCATCAATTCACATCAAACTACACACCACACAGCATATTCCCAATGTTGAGTGTGGCATGTGATTTAATTCTTTGGATAACAAAGAACTAAATAATTTTTAAAACAATATACATGAAGCTAAATTCTATTGCAATTAGCCTGACTAGGTAGAGTTGATCTGAAAATAAATTACACAGGATGCCTTAAACTACTACATTTGAGATTGGCTAAACACTCCTCATAATAGCCACTTTGGGATGGTAGTTAAGGAATCAGGCTAGAAATTGGAAGACCATGAGTTCTAGTCCTACCTTGGAGTAAAAAGCCAACTGGGTGACTTTGGGTCTGTTACTTTTTCTCAGCTCTAGGAAGGAGGCAAACCACTTCTGAAAAAACTTGTCAAGAAAATTGTAGGAACTTGTCCAGGCAATCTCCAAGAATCAGACATGATTGAACGGAAAGGGGGGAAAGCACAATAAACATAGAATCCTATATGTTTGGTTGTGCTGAACCTTCGTCTCATTCTTATAGTTCAGTGAAGTAAGGAGGCATCTGCCTGAGGTAATTTCGAATGTATCTGGATGTTCTGAACTTTAAAAAATGTTTACCCTTATCGCCTTGGCAACTAATCTTACATATATCCATCAAGGTCATCTTCCTTAATCATTACAACATAGGAGATTAAAAATGTTTTAAAAAGCAGTCCCTATGGAGTTGACTCTGCTAGTTGCTGCCAACTATAGGGGTGGTGCTCATCTCTGTTTCAAGGCCATTGAACCAGCATTGAAGACATTTCCTTGGTCATGTGGCCAGAGTGATGTCACAGAGCACTGTTACCTTCCCACTGAATTTGTACCTATTTATTTACTTGCGCTTGTAGGCTTTTAAACTGTTAGGTTGGCAGGAGCTGGGGCAAGGATGGGAGCTCACCCCATCACGTGGAGCTCAGATCTCGAACCTGGTCTGCTGGCTGAGCCACTGCGTCACCCTCTCAGTTGTACAATATATATTATACAACGTAGGTAGGAGATGGCTAGGAAAAATGGCACACGTACTCTCAAATGCGTCAAAAGAAAGATTGCAAAATGGTCAACAGTCTTCAAGGTCATCAAATTGTAGCATGAGAAAGGTGAGTCTGCCTGTCGGCTTAGCAAAAATACATTCAAATGCTTAGGTTTTCTCTTCTAGTCTTGTGCCACCTAGACACATCAAATTATCAGGTACAGATTAACAGTGTTGGAAGGGACCTTGTAGGTCATCTAGTCCAACCCCCTGCCCAAGCAGGAGACCCTACACCATTTCTGACAGATGGCAGTCCAGTCTCTTTTTGAAAGCTTCCAGTGATGAAGCTCCCACAACTTCTGAAGGCAACTTCTGTTCCATGTTTGGCTGTTCTCACAGTCAGAAAATTTCTCCTTATTTCCAGGTTGAATCTCTTCTTGTTCAGTTTCCATCCATTATTCCTTGTCTGGCCTTCGGATGCTTTGGAAAATAGCTTGAAACACCCCCCCCCATCCTCTCTGTGGCAGCCCCTCAAGTATTGGAACACTGCTATCATGTCTCCCCTGGTCCTTCTCTTCACTTGACTAAGCAGAGATAATATCCTTGTGAAAGAAAGAGAATAGTAATGGCTTACAATGAAAGCAACTCTCGGGAGACTATTTTGAAGTCCTTGGGAACAATGCCCATTTGCATATGGTTAAAACTCTGAATTGACCCAAGGAAGGGAAACTGAATCTGATGACTCTGATAAAGTGGTTTAAGCAAAGTCATCAGATTTAACTCCAGTGGGAAATTCCAGATTGAAATCAAGGGAAAGCAGAACTGCCTCTTCCGAGCCAGATGGGAAACAAAGGGTCAGATAATTTGCAAGGCACACTATCAGGGTAAAACAATTGCTAGGATTTTACTGCCCGTAGTTTGCTCAAGTTTAAATGTATGATTAACAATATAGTCATCAGGAAGAGGCAATGTTTTTTAGATCCAACGTAATACTCAGGCTTGGACTGGCACACGAGGGACTCCAGTCCAGGCAGGACCAGAATAAAGAAATGGGTAGGATGGAGACAAAATTAAACATTGGTTTGATTTTATCAATGATTATATATTAATTCAAATAGATTAAAGTAAATACAGATGGTCCTGTGCAACCATTCGTTCAGCTACCATTCCAAGTTACAATGGCACTAAAAAAAGTGACATATGACCATTTTTCACAGTTACAACCGATGCAGCATCCCCATGGCCACGTGATCCTTGGCATGGTTCATATTTATGACGGTTGCAGTGTCCCAGGATCATGCAATCCCCTTTTGTCAGCTTCTGATCAGCAAAGTCAATAGGAAAGCCAGATTGACTTAGCAACTGCAATGATTCACCTAAAAATTGTGTGGGGGTGGGTGGGTCATAAATGGGGCAAAACCCATTTAACAACTGTCTCGCTTAGCAACAGAAATTTTGGGCTCAGTTGTGGTTGTAAGTCGAGGACTACCCGTATACTAAATTACTTCAATATAATAAATACGATTGTTCTCCAGTTATTGATTGTTTTTCTTCTTTTATCACCTTAAGAATGTCAGTCTGATGTCAAGTTTTGGAGGCATTTATAAGCATTGTACCAGGGGTGAAAAGCTCCTGGTTTGGTCCGGATTGCCTGATCCGGTAGCGATGGCAGTGGATGGTTCGGAGAACTGGTAGCAAAAATCCCTGCGTCCCCCCTCCCCACCATGCCCAGCTGAGCCGCACGATATCAGAGGCTTTTTTTTTTTAACTTTTGAAAGCATTTTTTCTACAACCTCTTCCAACAAAAAATGCTTTTAAAAGTAAAAAAAAAAAAAAGCCTCTGATGATCGCGGGGCTCAGCTGGGATCGTCAGAGGCTTTTCAAAGCATTTTTTTCTGCAACCTCTTGGCCAAAGAGATAGTAAAAAAAATGCTTTGAAAAGTCTCAGATGATCCCAGCTGAGTTGCCTGATCAGCAGAGGCTTTTCAAAGCATTAGAAAAAATGCTTCGGAAAGTTAAAAAAAAAAAAAGTTGGCCACGCCCACCCAGTCACATCAGCCCCCACCACCAAGCCACGCCCACAGAATCGGTAGTAACAAATTTACATTTCACCCTTGCATTGTACCCAAGGCTTTTGAGGACTCAGATGGGTTTGGGGCCATGAGTTGTGTAGCTCTGATTTAGATCTATGAGAAGTGGCATCAACAGGAAAGGTTTAAAAAGTGTAGATAGTGGCTGTGGCATCGTAATGGAAATACTACCCATTGTAAGTATGGGCAAGGTTGATACATACACAAAAGTATGATACTTCAATCATGCTACTGTAATAACCTTGACATTTTGCCCCATTCTCCCTTGTGGATACCCACCATAGATTTATTTATCCAATTTAATCGTCAGCAAATTACAAGGATGTGTGACAGCACCGTTCACCAAGTTTTGAAAAAAGTTCAACAGAGACTTTTCAGTTTTAGATCCAGAAAGGGCTTCACTTCTTATAAAATAAGCCTGAAGTAACTTCTAAAGGAAGTCATCCTAAAATTTAAAGCACCCAAACTATATTTCTCACTTCATTTTTGCTCCTTAAATTTGGGTTGGATCCGGATTTAGAGTCATCATCGGAATAGTTCCTGAATGAAAGATAGGTTAGTTATTTAAAAAAAAAAAAAAACCCTGGCTCGATTAATTTTCATCAGTCTACCTTGGATGAGATGCTATCTAGCTCTCCCGTGGAAAGCAGTACTATATTAAATAAACTGTTGAAGATTTGTAGTCTCTGTGAACAGAACGAAGGATAGATAAGTCTATTTAATTAAAACTATGTTGTTTCCAAGAAATTTAAACTCAGAGATTGTGGAAGCAAACTGACAAGAGTGCTTGGAGAAAGTATAGTATGAATGATGATGTGGTATATAAGAAGAAGATTAATTATTTTCAAATTCATTTCTCAACATGGGAACCCCCTGGAAACCAACAATTACTGCATCTGTTTATTTTGTGAATCATTATTTCTTTTTCTGTTTAAATCTGTCAAGGAATCACTCACTGAACACTTCCCAAGTAAAATAAGAATCTGAAACCAGAGCTACCAGACAAGATTCCTGTATCCTAACATTGTTATATCAGATTTCAGGTGCACTTTATAGGTGAGATAAATATATGTAAACAACTCTGCACACTTTTGCCTCTTCTGTTATCTATCCTTAAAACGTAAGATGTCCTCAGGGAGAAGGGCGGTATATAAATTGGAAATAAAATAAAATAAAATAAAAATAAAAATGTAAGGAGTCATGTTAAATACAGTCAGGCTACTGGTCCTTCTAGTACAGGGGTATCAAACTCGACTTCATTGAGGGCCGCATCAGGGTTGTGTTTGACCTCGGGGGGGGGAGGCAGGGGGTGTGACCATCTTGATTTCACTTGTGTCGGGGGTGGGGGGTGCCTGTGGCGGCCCGAGTGCTCTGCCAACAAAAACAGGCTCCCAAGCTCCATTTTCGGCTGCAACGGCCTCCTGCAACCCCTTGCCAATGAAAATGGAGGTTGGGAGGGCTGCCCATGGCCCTCCCGAGCTCCATTTTTGCTGGCAGAGGCATCACGGGCCAGTCCTTCGCTGTTTCCAGGGCAGTCCCGTGGGCCAGTCTGAGCACCCCATTGGCCAGATCTTGGGCCCGGGCCTTGAATTTGACACCCCTGTTCTAGTACAATGTTTCTCTACCCTGGCAATGGTGAGATGGATAGTTTTCAACTCCCCAAATTCCACAGCCAGTATTGTCATTGCTAAGAATGCTGTGAGTCTCACATCTCAATGTTGCCCAGGTTGAGAATCACTGCTCAGTCTAGCATATTATTGTGAAACATGGTTTAAGCTTGCAAACCACAGAATATGTGAAGGCAAACATTAATAAGCAACTGATAAGGTGCTTTCATATAAACCTTTTATTGTTGTACAATACTCATACAGGTAGTCCTCAACATATTGAGTCCAAAATTTCCATTGCTAACCAAGGCAGTAAGTGAGTTTTGGCCCATTTTGTGGCCTTTCTTGCGGCAGCTGTGATGTGAATCACTGCAGTAGTAACACAGTTGTTAAATGAAGCTAGCTTCCCCATTGACTTTGCTTGTCGGAAGGTCGTAAAAAGTGATCACATGATCCCATGTCACTGCAACTGTCATAAATATATGCCCGTTCCCAAGGGTCCAAATCAGTGGTAGGTTTCAAAAATTTTTACTACCAGTTCTGTGGGTGTGGCTTGGTGGGCATGACATGGTTTGGTGGGTCTGGCTTGGTGGGTGTGGCAGGGGAACGATACTGTAAAATCTCCATTCCTACCCCACTCCAGGGGAAGGATACTGTAAAATCTCCATTCCCTCCCCAATCCAGGGGAAGGTTACTGCAAAATTTCCATTTCCTCCTGATCAGCTGGGACTTGGGAGGCAGAGAATAGATTGGGGCAGGGGCAGTCAGAATTTTTACTACTGGTTCTCCGAACTACTCAAAATTTCCACTACCGGTTCTCCAGAACTGGTCAGAATATGCTGAAACCCACTTCTGGTCCAAATTTTGATCATTTATTTATTTATTGGTTCATTTTATATGCCGCCCTTCTCCGGAGACTCAGGGCGGCTTACAATGCGTTCAGCAATAGCCTTCATACTTTTGTATATACCGGCTTAGTAGGGCTTTTGGCCCCCCCAAGCGGTGTTTTTTTTTAATACAAAGTCAGCTTATTGCCCCCACAATCTGGGTCCTCATTTTACCTACCTCGGAAGGATGGAAGGCTGAGTCAACCTTGAGCCTGGTGAGATTTGAACTCACAGTAATTGCAGGCAGCTGGCAGCTAAGTGCTACTTAACAGCACTTTAGTCCGCTGCACCACCAAGGCTCCTAATCATGTGATTGTGGGGTTGCTGCAGTGGTCGTAAATGTGAAAAATGGTCATCGGTTACTTTTTTTCCCCAGCGCTGTTCAAACAGTTACTTAACAAATGGTTGCAGGTTGAAGATCACCAATTTTTTGTATTTCAATCACCAAATTTTTACAGGAATTGTCAGATGCAGCCCAGTGCTACTTGGGCTTATCATACATTTTCAAACCACCTTCATTGTTTTTCTTCTTTTCCACTGACAATTCACTTAGGAAGAAAAGATGACATAACCGCACAGTTCCTTTTGATAGTTGGTGCCGGCGGCCTTAATTGTGAACAAATCAGTGGTGAGCTGCTGCCGGTTGTGCGCACTCTCACATTTTCGGTGCTGGGCAAACCAGTTGTTAATTCATGTGCTGCCCACCTCTGGAACAAATGTCTACACAGCATGGTCAAAAAGTTAAAATGGCAGCCATGATAGTACAACTTAAGCTTATTTTAGATGTGACACATCAGGAAGCACCCAAAGACTGGGGAGATCCAGTTTAAAAACCCCATAGAGCCATTTCAGATCCTAAATTATACGGGATAAAATTTTCACTCAATTTTGACCTGCCAATTACTCTGAAAACGAAAAATGAGGGAAGGGGGCATTGGTATTATATGATCTTTTTGGACGAAGACATATCAACTAAACAATGATTATCATATTTTTCGGAGTATAAGATGCACCTTTTTCCCCCCTAAAAGGGGGTGAAAATTTAGGTGCGTCTTATACACGGAATGTTGCCCCGCCCACCCGCTGGCCCCCACCCTTTGGCCTCTGCCTCGCAGCAGTTACTGTACCTCCTTGCAAGCAAACAGCAAGAAAAAACAGCTCCTTTCAGCTTCAGCACAGCCTAATTAGCAGAAGTTGATTGGATTGGCCTCCCGACTCTCAACTGATTTGCTCTTAGCTGTTTTGCTCAGGGCTCTGCTGCTTGCTGCAAAGAGGTAAATTGCTGGAGCAGATTGTTTTTTCCCCTTGTGCTAATCAAGCTATGCTGAAAATGAAAATGAAAGTAAAGCAGGCTGTTTGCTCTTTGCTGCAATGAGGCAAATTGCTCAGAGGCAGAGGCAGAGGGAGATTTCTTTTTCTTCTTTTCTTCACCAGAAAAAGGTAGGTGCGTCTTATACTCCAGTGCGTCTTATACTCTGAAAAATATGGTAATAAATTAGTCCTATAGGGCCTTTCCCTTAAGAGCACCAAGTTGTTCAATTTCTCAAGCGCAGTAGGAACAATAACTCAAACACGGGGGAGGGGGGAGATTGACATCCAAGAACAACGTAATATATTAGAAGTTTTAATAATGTAATTTTCTTTCCAGCATGGGTCATTTAAACAAGTTCTCAAGACGATAGGTGGCAAAGCAAATACCAGTTTTTCCAGAATCCTATTAAAAGAAGAATAGCAGTCAATTGGATCTCCTCATTCACTCTCAATGTGGACCCTAAGAAAATATTCAAATATTGAATGTGTACTTTAGGTGGGAAGAGAAAGAGGACTGTTAGGCACAATATTTTGGAGCAGAAGCAGGTAATCAAACTCGGAGAACTTCAGGCTTTAACAAAAATTTCTGTCATGGACATTTTTAACCACTCCTAACCTGGTCTGCGGTGCTTAGTTCTAGGAAAGATATTAGAGAATTTGGACCTATTTAATTGAAAAAAGGATGTGGTGGCTCAGTGGCTAAGATGCTAAGCTTGTCGATTGAAAGGTCAGCAGTTCAGCAGTTCGAATCCCTAGTGCCGCGTAATGGGGTGACCTCCTGTTACTTGTCCCAGCTTCTGCCAACATAGCAGTTCTAAAGCACGTAAAAAATGCAAGTAGAAAAATAGTTTTAAAAAGAAAAATGCAAGTAGAAAAAATAGGGACCACCTTTGGTGGGAAGGTAACAGCGTCCGTGCGCCTTTGGCGTTTAGTCATGCCGGCCCCAATGCCATGGAGACGTCTTCGGACAGCACGGGCTCTTCGGCTTTGAAACTGAGATGAGCATCGCCCCTAGAGTTGGGAACAATTAGCATATATGTGCGAGGGGAACCTTTACCTTTACCTTTTAGTTGGGGAAAAAAAAAAGAATTGTTTGGCTTGCAGCTACTCTAACTGTGCTGTCCCTCTTCTGGTGCTACAGACATAGCCTATTTTCTAACCACCTCACTCTTTCCCACAGCCCTTATCTCTTTCTTGGGTTATTAAAGAAAAAACTTTTGCACTTGGCTAGAAATCTGAATTCACTCTTAGCAGCCGATAGCCTGGAACATACATCAGTCCATATCTCTTAAAACAATAGCTTCTGACAGAGAGATACAGAGACTTTGGGAAACAAGCATTTCAGTCTGCTTTAAAATCTGACTTGCAATCCAATTTATTTTATTTTATTTTATATTAGCAAAGTCACAAGGAGGTCAGATTCCATTCACCAGCTAAAAACTCCCATCAATGGGAAACAGAAGTCAAGAGAGCACAGAAACAACAGAGTAAACAACTCACAAACAACTCTCTCTGCCAGGGTAGCTGCCAAAAAGAATGCAGCCCAGGAATTGGCAGCCATGCAAACATTTCAACCACAAATATTACAGGGACCTGGCTACGTTCAAATGCATTCCTCCACCTTGTAAGGGCTGGGAGATAATGCTGCTTGATTTTTGTGGATTGCTGCTAAAATGGCTTTATGAGAAGGTTTCATTTTGAGAAGCGTTGTAGGGGCTTAAATAGAGTTGATTTTTGTTCTGCTCTAGACAGGGACATGATAGATAGATGAGATGGATGGATGGATGGATGGATGGATGGATAGATAGATAGATAGATAGATAGATAGATAGATAGATAGAATCACTTGTATTCTGTTGAGAGACAAAAGGAACACATGAGTTCAGAAGTTGTGGGTGCGCTATCACTGGAGGCTTTTAAGAACAGACTGGACAATTATTTGTAATGATATATGGCTGTGATGGCGAACCTATGGCACGCGTGCAACAGGTGGCACATGGAGCCATATCAGTGGGCACGTGAGCGTTGCCCTAGCTCACCTCCAGCGCACATGTGTGTGCAGGCCAGCTGATTTTTGGGCCTTCCGGGCCCACTGGAAGTCAGGAAACAAGCTGTTTCCGACCTTGAGAGGGCCTCCAGGGGGGTGGGGAAGGCCGTTTTCGCCCTCCCCAGGCTCCAGAGGCTTTCTAGGAGCCCGGGGAGGGCGAAAATGGCCTCTCCCCCCGTAGGCCCTCCAGAGGCTGGAAGCTGCCAGTTTCCCGATTTCCGGAAGTTGGAAAATGGGCCATTTCCGGCCTCCGGAAGGCCTCCGGGGGGGTGAGGAAGGCTGTTTTTGCCCTCCTCAGGCTCCTAGAAAGCCTCTGGAGCCTGGGGAGGATGAAAAACGGGCCTACCGGGCCCACCGGGCCATTGTGTGCCAAAAGCAGGGGGAGCACGGGTGGTGGTGGGGCGCATTGAATTATGGGTATGGGCACGCGCACACACGACCCCCCCACTTTTGGCACGCGATGGCAAAAACGTTAGCCATCACTGGTCTAGGGTCTCCTGCTCGAGCAGGGGGTTGGATTAGAAGACCTCCAAGGTCCCTTCCAACTCTGTTATTCTATCTTCTAACTACAGTACTTTATTCACATATACAAATATTAGAAGTTTAGAAGAACCCTTTGAAGTTTGCAAACCTCAAGAGAAATTAACCTCAGCCATCAAATTCAGGAAAACCTTAAAAATCTTACCGTTTCTTTCAGCTGATCTTCCCCAAATAATGGAATGCTTAGGTTGACTCTGAAAGTGGTTGATTAGTAACGTATGAATAACATGATTAGTAGCCATGAATGGATAAAATGTTTATGAAGCACTTGAGAAAGCAAGACAGAATGCAGCTCTATGTAGAGTGTATTGGTGATAATATTAGTCTATAATATTGGTCTATCTTACTTTGCTGTGGGATGATGTAACTGAGATTCTGGGGATCAAGAACACTGACGCTCCTAGAGGGATATTAAGTCCCTTTCAAATTAGATGGGCGGCAAATAAATGTAATAAATAAATACAATTATTATTACTGGGGGAAAAATCCCTTGAGCTCAAACTTCTTCCTTTTCTTTGCTAGCTTGATTCTCACTATATATATATATAAATAAAATTTTGGGGAGTGGGAAACAAATTATTTAAGGCCACCTAATTTTCTACCAAGAGTCTGAGGTGTAACTTCAATCCTTATAAGACTTCTGCATGGATCAATTAAATTGTTGGACCCAAAAATAAAACAACTCAACTCTTTCCAGAAAGAATATTTGTATCATGGCTTTTTCAGAAGCCACTGGCAATTCTTTGTATCAACTAAGTTTTATTTAGCCAGCTCAGCAACGGGAAAGGAGCCAGGAGTCACACACACACACACACACACACACACACACACACACACACACACAGACACACACTCACAGCTGCTATCTGATTGGCCTGAGGAGAACAGGCACTTGGCAAGGCCGCCCCCAGGATCTGGCTCAACGCAACGTGAGACGGGTGCCAAGATCTCTTCACAAGGAACAGCAAACAGTACCAAGTGTGTTTACTGCTTCAGCTCTGAAACCTGAGCTGTGACCCTGGCAAGGGTTGTTTTGCAGGGAGGGTCAAGAAAGGCTGGCATTTTCTGGAACAATCCGAAGAATTAAAGAGTCAGGATCTCGAACGCTCTTCAAAACAGACTTTATTTGGGATCCGCGTTCTTTGTGGCTTGGAGTGGATAGATACTGAATCACTGTTCGTAATCATATGATTTACTAACCATGAACTATTGAGCTCTTCACACAGAAGCATACTTTGTTTCTGAGGAGCTGACATTCACAACTGTTTGGGGTTCACATCAACAAGGACTGCTGCACACTGAATAATTTCCCAGTTGCATAACTCAGTACATCCCTAAACGTATATTTATTTGTTAACTCATAGCCTTCTTTACTCTAGAAATGTATGGAAATACTCTGTTTTATCCTCAGAGCAACAACTTTGTAAGTTATACAGGCAGTCCTTGATTTACGACCACAACTGAGTCCAACATTTCAATTGTTAAGGAAGACATTATGTGAGTTTGGCCCCATTTTACCACCTTTCTTACCACAGTTGTAAATCACTACAGTTAAGTTAATAACATGATTGTTGCCAGTGGTGGGCTGCTGCCGGTTCGGACCAGTTCAGGCGAACTGGTAGTTCCGACGATCAGTTGGCTCCGCTCACCTGCCCCTGCTCTATCCTGTCCTATATTTCCTTCTTTCTGGCTCAGCTGATTCACGCGGCACAGCTGATTTACACACTTCCGCTGTTCTACTTACCGGGGCTGCCTTAGAAGGTAAACAGCTGAGCTTCAAATTGCTGTATTTTGAATGCTGCGTGCAAGTGCGTTAGGTGCATGCACGCATGAAGCACATGCTCACAGAACCGGTTGTTAAACTGGTTGCAGCCCACCACTGGTTGTAGCGTTAAATGATTTAACAGATTAACAGAGTTGGAAGGGTAGGTAGGTCATCTAGTCCAACCCTCCCCACCCCTGCCAAAGCAAGAGACCCTACACCAGTGATGGCTAATCTTTTTGCCATTGCGTGGCAAAAGCGGGGGGGTTGCGTGTGCCCATACCCATAATTCAATGCGCCCCACCCCCCTGCGCTCCTCCTGCTTTTGGCACGCAATGGCCCGGTGGGCCCGGTAGGCCCGTTTTTTGCCTTCCCCAGGCTCCAGAGGCTTTCGAAGAGCCTGGGGAGGGTGAAAACGGCCTCCCCCCCGGAGGCTCTCCAGAGGCCCTTGGGAGGCCAGAAATGGGCCGTTTCCCAACTTCTGGAAGTTGGGAAACGGGCAATTTATGGCCTCCGGAGGGCCTCCGGGGGGTGGGGGAGGTCGTTTTCGCCCTCCCCTAGAAAGCCTCTGGAGCCTGGGGAGAGTGAAAAACGGGCCTTCCCCACCCACCAGAGGTCCTCTGGAGGCCGGAAACAGCCTGTTTCCTGACATCCAGTGGGCCCGGAAGGCCTGAAAATCAGCTGGCCTGCACGCACATGCGCGCTAGAGATGACCTAGGGCAATGTTCGTGGATGATTGACTCTTCTGATTTTCCAATCAGAGTCTCTGGGAGTGGGTGATAATGCTGCCTGTTGATTATAATTGGATCACCCTGTTGGGATTTAGAAAGCGATTAAACCTGGATTTTTGACAGTAGAGACAAATTGAGATAGATCCTCAGAGTTCAATGGGTTTTTATTATCATTTCATAGTTGTTTCTCAGCCTATGAATACTTTATTATAATCTTAGATTACAATGTTTTGTTCTTACCCTGCTTGCTTTTGATTTTGAATGGTTTAATCCTGTTCACCGAGTGTAGGATTGAAAGCCGCTCAGATACTGTAATGATTGGCCACGTCGCAATAAATATATGA